GCTCTCTCTTCTTTATTTTCATATTGGTGTTTTTCTTCGTTCGCTGCACCACCAGCGGCTGAATCATTATTCGGAATTCCTTTATCAGTATCCGTGTCAGCGTCATCGTTGGCAGCATTACTGGCAGCCGAGATTGATGGTAGTGTCGATTCGGCATGAACGTCCGATTGTTCACCCTCTTGGTTGCCGGTGGTTGATGCAAGGCCTTCATTTCGTTGATTGCTTGTTACCTCCTCGTCGTCCAGGAGAATTTCTGTTTTTTGCACGGAAACGATAACTTCAGGGCTGGGTTTTTCAGCATTTGTTTTTGCTTTTGAATCTCCTTCTGATTTTTCATTTTTTGTGGGTGGTGATGGTATTGCCTCTGGAGCTTCCCCTTTTTTTGTTGATGGCATTTCTGCTGCCAATCCATTTGCTGGAGTTTTGCCTCCTTGTGATTGTTTGGAATTACCTTCAGGGATGACCATTGCTTTTCCTGGCGTTGCAGTTAAAATTCCTGCTGAGCTTCCATTTTGTGCGGGTGGCGTTACTCCCGGTGGGGTTTCTTCCTGTGTTTGTGCTCCTTCAGCTGGTGGCGATACCGTTTTTCGATCTTCTTCTGGCGTTGATGTTAATTCGGTTATCTTTCCATCCTGCTTTGGAGTTACAATGTTCTCCATTTTTTCTTTACTCCCTTTTTCTTCTTTACTTTTACTTTTTTCTGTTTCCGTTTCCACGACCGTTCTGTCGGAATTTCTTGGTTGTGTGGAGACAACTCCATCCTGCCTTTCAGAACTCTTTCCTCTTCCTGCACCCAACGATTCATTTGCGGTCTCGGACTCTTGCTGGACTGAATCCTCTGATTCCCGATGACCCCTTCCATCACCGTCTTGACGTCCAGACGGTAAACTCTCGGATCCTTCACTTTCCATTTCGACAACATCACCGGCAGCCGACACCAAAACTGCAGCACCGCACCACAGCACGCAGAGGGCACACACCAGCAGCACACGGCCAGTCATCATCATCGCCATCACTCCCGTCACGTGCATGTAGCCTTCAGCACAAACTAACAACACGTCAACGCAAAGTGAAAGCAAAAGGAAAAAGAGAAAAAAGTCACACAGTAACGCGCAGCCACCGCACAGGACAGTGACAAATACCAGCCGCAGAGCACACACCATGAGGCAGAGGGAATCAGTGCAATTGCAGAACTTGCACACCGCCCTGCAATCCAGAAGTTTTAGAAAAAAGAAAAACAGAGTTGAGGGTCCGGCAAGGCTCCCGGAATAAATAAATAAAATTCATTCGGCAGGACTTTCATTTCATGTGCCACGCAGCACAAAATAGACGACAGTATGTTTAAGTACATATATACATATATATATATATATAATGCCCGCGGTAAAAATTTAAAAAAGTAAAAAAGATCGTACTCTTCCACAAGCCCACACAAAACACTCTTCACATTTCATGCGGCATCCGGCCTGTTCCTCCAATCCTCCTTTCGTGCAGTCCGTGGGACGCACAGCAATGAGGCCGGCACCACGTGTGGGCAACAAAAAACAAAACAAGTAGGGGAAACACGTCACTCGTAACAGTGTGCAGCAACCGACCATTAAATAAAGAAACAGCAAGGATATTTATTATTCCAGGAAAACAACAAAACCAACAGTAAAATGTAAATAATAAAAATAACACGCATGCAACGCGGCACATGTTCTCCGTGATGAGTCGCAATTCCACACTCTTTGGCTCACAAGACCGCCACAATTCCACACAATCCCAGAAGAAGCAGCAACGCACAATACACGCGCCCACGCACACTGCTGTCAAGAGTTAACTCTCGCAGTGTCAATTTCGCGTCGCTGCGCAGGGCAAAGCAGTCGTCGGGACTCACACCGTTTCCGGATTACTGCGCGGTGAGTTTTTGTAATTGGGGTTTTCGTGTCCCGAGGCATTGCGTTGAGTCAACCCGTACGCATCACCCTCAGCAACAAATCCACTGCCTGCAACGCCATTTTCTGAAGAAAGGAAATTTGTGTCCAGTGGCGTTGTGCTCACTCACCTCGTCCGTGTTATCCGCAGCAACGTGTTCCCTGCCGCCATAAGTGACGGACATGATCCCGGAACCATTCGACGCCACTAATATTTTTAAACCATAGGCAAAGAAAAGCCTCTTCTTGGATGCATTCGGGACCATCACTTCGTTCGGATTGGTGGCAAACTCAGGCCTCGTCCTAGGCGTGTTGGTCGCCGTGTTGGATGCGGGACTCGGATCGACGGTGTTGGGTCCGTCAGCCGCCGCAGACTGTCGCCAATCCTCGTGTTGACGTGACGGCTCAGCATTAACTTGCGGCACAGTTGTCCCACCAGATTTTGTGTCATCCTTCCCTTCACGGGGTGGCGGCAACTGGCAGATGCCCGTCTGGTCAGCATCGCCTCTCCGTGCAGGCGGATGGATGGTTCCATCGGGAGAAAATTGACGCCACCACAATTCATAAGGACCGGCGTATTTGTGTGTCGTCACATTCATCGTGAAGGCAACGGTGGCCCCTTCCTCTTTCGTTGCACAGCTGGCAGCACAGTTGCTACATGTGTGCACCGCATCGGCCACATGGCACACAGCACACAGCTCACCATCTCTGCCATGCATGCGCACATCAAAGCCACTGAAAGTATAATTCTCATACTGAGCCTCAGCACTGGCATCAAACCACTTCTTCCACGCACACACACACACACACACACACACACACACACGATAGCTCGAGCTGCCGTCACTCGGAGCCCAACTCAACGCGGCCGCACGCGGTGCATCACACCCGCAGGAAAAGAGATTCGGGGTGCGCGCTCCCTCTCTCCCTTCTCCTCATAGCCACGGAAGAAGACAACAGCCGCCACACGCAACTGCCAGCATGCACTGCAAAAGGTGCATCCAAATCCACTGCAATGTGCATCTTGTGTGTGTGTGGTTGTGTGTGCCTGCAGAAACACAAAGCAAAGAAGTAGAAAAGAGGGAGCAGAGTATGCGGAGAGACGCACAAAAATGTACAGCGGAGACGCATGACGGAAACAACAAGAAGAAGACCGCTCAAACTCATGATTGCACTGCAGCCCAAGCAGCGGCCATTCACACAATATTTATTGAAAACAAAAAAACGTCCCCTTCCTCTTATATAAACCCCATCACACAAAATAATTATAAATGAAAAAGAAATCGTCCATTACTGTTCCACACAAAATAAGAAAAAGGTCGATTGGCTGCCGTGTGGCCACACCAAACTGTCTGTATATATTTTGCCCGCAAAAGAAAAATAAAAGGATGGTTGCGTGTGCTTCAACCGTCCGACCCTCCATGTGTCCGCACATCGTTTATATTTCATGGGGTCATCTGCGTGTTGCTGCTCCCCTCAGCCCTCTCATCGGCGTGCGAGTGCGGCCCGCAGAGCACAGTCACTCGTGTGTGTGTGGGGACTGAGAGGAGCACGCAGACATGACGGGAGTCGCGCCTCTCCATCGGGAGAGTGAGCGCAGCGAAAAAAAAAGAAAAAATCATCGGAGGGGAGAGAAATGCTCACGAGGCCGACACCGAAGGGTGCGCCACCGCACGAAATAAACACGCAAAGCAAAAACAAATCCTTAAAAACACGGCGGCAGGGTGTGGCTGTGTGTGTGGCGCTGCGGGTGTCTGCCCGCCCTGGCCGCAAAGAAAACAAAACAAGAGGGAAAGAAATGTGTGCTCCGCCCCACAGGCCCTCGTCGCACGCCCACACGTCACGGCTCCCTCAGCGCGCCGTTCGTCGCGGCCCCTCCTCATGCGTGCAGCAGGCGAGGCGCACAGGGCCGCCGTCATGAGCGTGTCGGTGGGTGTGCGAGTGGAGCAGTTGGGCGGGAAACACACGGCACCCCTCACAGGAAGAGTGCAGCAACAAACAATTAAAAGAGGGAAGAGTAGAAAAGAAAAAACGTCCATAGTGATTGCCCCAAAAAAGCAAAAAAAGGGTGTGGGGGAGCATGATAAAAGAAAAATAAAAAGTAAAAACAACAACAGAACGCACAGAAAACAAAAGAAAAAAAAAATGAAGAAAGAAATTTCACCACCAGATAAAAACAAAAAAAGCATTTAAAATATTTTAAAGCAAACAGCAAAGAAAAACTAAAACTACTTAAAACAATCGTAAGAGGTCGCCCACTCAATGCAATAAAAACAAAACAGTTACGGTGCTCCGCCCATGCAGCCAGTCAGGACGGCAGCGGTGCGTGTCGTGCAAAAGAGAGCACCAACGGGCATGCATGGGTATGCATGCATATATACAATGGGCACATTATGTGTGTGCTGCGTGGGATGAGGTGAGGGCGAGAGTCCATGCAAGGGGACACACACAGAGAGAGTGAGTGAAAGACGAGTGTGTGTGCGGGCGGTGCATGGCTCTCTCTCCCTCACTCTCACACGGCCACCACCGCAGCAGCAGCCGCACACGCAACAACAAGAAGAAGCAAAAGAGGGGAGGTGGTGTGGGATGCATCCGTGTTTTGACTGTAGTTCTTCTCATTTACGGAATTTGTCTTTGGCTGTTGAGTTTTTACCCCATGCGTTGTTGTGTTGGATACTTCCGAGAGTTCTTTTCCATTGCGTTGGGATCCTGTAATTTGATCCCCTGGTGATTTTTTTGTCTCGTTCGTTTGTGAATGGTCATTTTTCTTTTGTTCTTCCAAAGAGTCTTGGAGTTCATCTCCCGCGGCGTCGTGGCCAATACTGCGACCCCCTGCTGAAGCAAAATTGTTTCTTTTCTTTTCATTGTTGGATGACACCGTTGGCTGTCCTTCGGGCGAAGAGGTGTGCTGACTCCCTGTCTCTTTTTGTGCCAAAACTTCTTGTGGGGATACAATCTGCTCATCGGATGAAACACTGACCGGGGTTGTTTTTCCATTACCACCTTCATTTGAGGAAATAACGACGGGGCGAGAGTCCGGAGGTTCACTTCCACCAAGAACAGAATGACCACCACCGGAAAAAGCAGCAGCAGCACCGGGACCAACAGCACCAAGACCGGAAAAAGCAGGACCACGAAAAGGACCAGGGCCGGGAATAGCATCACCAGGATCGGAAAAAGCAGCAGCAGCACCAGCACCAGCAGGACCAGCAGCATGACCGGGAACAGCAGCACCAAGACTGGAAAAAACAGCAGCAGCACCGGGACCAGCTTCAGCAACAGCATCACCAAGACCGGAAAAAGCAGGAACAGCAGCATCATCACCGGGAACAGCAGGACCACGAAGTGAACCAGGAGTAGCACCAGGACCGTGACCGGGAACAGGAGAACCAGGAATAGCAGCAGGACCATGACCATGACCAGCAGCACCAGGACCAGGACCAGCAGCACCATAACCGGGAATAGCAGCACCAGGAATAGCAGCACCAGGGATAGCAGTACCATGACCATGACCAGCAGCACCACGAACAGCACCAGGACCAGCAGTACCATGACCAGGAACAGCAGCACCACGAACAGGACCGGAAAAAGCAGGACTAGGACCAGGGCCAGGAATAGCATCAGCAGCATTACCTGGAGCAGCAGCACCAGGACCGGAAAAAGCAGCAGCAGCATGAGCGGAAACGGCAGCACCAGGAATAGCACCAGGAACACGAACAGGAGAAGGGCCAGGAATAGCATCAGCAAAATGACCGGGAACAGCAGCACCAGGAATAGCAGGAACAGGAGCATGTGGAACAGTACCAAAACCCGTGGCTCCACTTAAAGGCGAATTAGTAACTCTTGTAGAAGAAACTTCTTCACGAGCTTCGGCTTGTATAGCAGAGATAAACGATGCTGACAGCAAAAGCGGTGTGGATAAGTTTTTAATAGATCCAGTTGACAGAAACGACTTATTCCTTCCAAACCCTCCCGACGCCATGTAGCCGCCCAGTGAGTTGTTGTCAGGGTTCCTCGCATAAACACCGCAGACACCGCACCACAGCACGCAGAGGGCACACACCAGCAGCACACGGCTAGTCATCATCATCGCCATCATCACTCCTGTCACTTGCGTGTAGCCTTCAGCACAAACTAACGCCCCGTCAACGCAAAGCAAAAGCAAAAGGAGAGACAAGTCACACAGCCACGCACAGTAAACAACGGCAGCAGCCCCGCAGAAGCACGCACACTGACCTGCACACCAGAAGTAAAAAAGCAATACCAAAACAAAAAAACTAGTTGAGTGCCCAACGGGAGTCTCATCCTCCAAAAAAAATACACTTCGGCAGAATCATCATTTCATACGCCATGCGGCAAAGCAGAGCTGTGTTTATATGTACATGCGTACAGTACCTGCACAAGGAAAAAAATATTACTGTTCCACAAGCCCACACAACATCCCACACATTTCATGCGGCATCCGGCCTGTCTCTCCACTCCTCCTTTTGTGTCGTCCGTGGAACGCACAGCCGTGGGGCCTGTACCGCGTGTAGGCAACAGAAGCAATCAAGAGGAAAACCATTTCGCTCATAAAGATGCGCAGCAACTGACCATTAAGTTAAAACAAAAGAAAAAGGTGCTCCCATTGTTCCATTTAAACAACATTAAAAAGAAAGCCCGCAGGGAACGCGGCACATAGCCTCTGTGAGAAGTCGCAACTCCACACTCCGTGGCTCAGAAGACCGCCACAACCACACACAGTCCCAAAAGCAGAAGCAGCAGTGGTGTGTCCACCCACGAGGTGATGCGCTCGCCACTGCTCACCGTCGGCAAGGACAAGTCACCTTCGAACTAGACTTCTCTACTCTCCTTAATTTTTTTGTTTAAAGAAGACATGGTCTGTGTGGCGCTGCTGCACGCACCGCTGTTTGTGGGCTCCTTAGCGGCGGGGGCGTGTGCTCGAGGACCATGGATACAGTCCCATCGCCCGTACACATCGGTGGTATTGGACGTCATGAGGTCATTATATTTTTTTTCCTACTCTTACCAGCGCGCCTAGCTATACAATGCCATCTGGGTGCCGAGGAGGTGGTCGAGCAGCAACATGAGTTTTCTGCTATGAAGCAGCTGCCATTGAGAGAACTTTCCGAGGCAAAGGTCCTGTTCAATGCCCAGCCGTTGGCGCACAGCCAAGGTGCCTGGACATTCTAGAAGCAGATGGTGCAAGGTTTCCTGCGGGCCAATTGGCGTGCTTGTGGAAGCTGGCTGATCCTGCGGCAGCAGAGACCGCCTCCTGGCACTGCTGTTTCGATGTCGAGTGGCGTCCGGGTTGTGTGCGCAGCGACTTCTGTGCTGTGCGGTGCTTCTCCGTGTGGGGAAAACCATATCACAGAAATCGCATTTAAGCTCGGGAAGCGGTGGAGGATGTTCCGGATGAAATGACCGACAGTGACTGACGAGATTCGAGAATCCCGTCAATATAGAATCGCAGTACGGAGATTTCTCCTTCCGACGGCGTGTGACGGTCCGTCTCCTTACTGGAGAGACGTCTTCCTCCCTTGCCGACGGGGGAACAGTGTCCGTCCCGGTGCGGTCGGATCGTTGTCAGAGCGCATATATGCAGACTGTTCTGGTGAGATGTTGCAGAAACGGCATTGGTTTGTGCAATCTTTCACAGCCCAGTATAGTCGGCCCCTGAGCTCAGATTCCCCGCACCTTGCCCTAGCGAGGTGAACCAGTCCCTGACGGTGAAGAACTTTCTGAGTGATCAGGTCCTTACCGCTGAGATCTGATGGCCTTGTGCCGCAAAGCAAGTAGCGGTGAGTGTCTTGACGAATGGTACTACGCCACTTGTTAGTGAGCTGGGTAGTAAAACATGTCAGCAGATCCGTATGCCATAAAGGTGCAATTGCTTGCTCCGTGTATTGTATAGTTGCCACAGTCTGCGTCGCATACTGATCTGCAAGCTCGTTAGCATGTATTCCACAATGTCCGTAACAAAACTGCAGGTGCACGGACCAGCCAGCACACGTCAGTGTCAAGAGCCGCTGCCAGATCCGATCCTCCGTCCAGTCTGTCTGACTGAGCGGGCCCTTGTTTAAAGCCGCTAGAAGAGATTGACTGTCTGTAACCACAAGCAGGGTTTTATGCCTGTGCTGGATACGAGGGATGATCAGCCTTTCTAGGTCCAGAAGCAGCGCACGGGATTCCGTCCTGTAGCTGCATGGGCGTGCACCGCAGTTTATACTGGCCTTTTCTATTATTTCCGATGAATTGAGGGATGAAAGCAGTATTCCAACCCCGGCTGACTTGGGAACGTCTACACCGCCATCCGTCGCGAGTGTCCACGAAAGATGGCTGTGCAGCGCTAGAGCCTCTTCGCTGACTCTGCGCTTTTCCCTTGTCAGCTCTTCCTCGTCAGTTATTGAATGGTCTATCGGAAGTTCCACGCCAATGGTGACCTGGTGTGCGGAGGCCGCAGACCAGGGAGGAAAGGAGCTGCGAAAAAACAGCTCTTCGCGTGGTGAGCTCTGGGTGATGCCATAGTCCTTTGTGTATGCGTCTACGAAGGCATATAGCTCGTCCCGAGATAATGGCGAGATGCGGAAACCTGCGCGAGGCGGTGGCTCGGGCGGGGGTCTCCGCATCCAGTCCATCTGGCATGCGCGTGTGTTCTCAAATATGGAGAGCCGCGCGCGCAGGCAAAGGACGTGAAGCGGCGGCATATTAGCCTCTAGAAGCGCGGATTCCGGGTCGACAGTGCTCGGAACTCCGCTGACAATGCGTGCCAGGGTTGCATACGTCTTCTGCATCTCATTCTTCGCTGAATCCGTCGCTACTGCCCATATGAGCTCGCTGCCATAGCGTAATTTGGAAGCACCATATCCAATGACGAACGTGCGTAGGTCATGTGGAGATGGCCCCGCCTCTTTATGCGCTATGCGGCGTAGCTGCGATATCCGTTGCGAAGTGGCAGCGCATTGCTTGGAGGCCGCCACATTTAGCGTCAGTCGTGGATCGAGATCCATGCCAAGAAGCTTCGTAGTTCGCGATGCCCCCATGGTCATGACTGGGATTTGACATCCAGCCACTACCAGAGGCCACCTTCCTTCACGATCATAATCTGACTCCGTGTGCGTGGAGAGTGTGAACCAAGCAGCTTCACACTTTGACGGGTTAATGGCCAGGCCATTTTCCTGACTCCACGCATGCAGTTTTTTGAGAACCATGTTGGCAGTGGGAATGGCGTCTTCCCGGGACTGCCCCTTAACAATAATAGAGAGGTCGTCCGCATACATGTCTGCTGTGACACCCGCAAAGCTGTTCAGCAGATTGAGAAGTGGGTGTACGTAAAGGGAGAACAAATATGGTCCCAGCACGGACCCCTGAGGAACTCCTCGCAGCATGGGACGCCGATCACTGTTTCTGTTACCAACTCGTGTCTTCGCGTAGCGACCACATAGAAGGTTTCTAAGCCACCTTCTACAATTCACCCCCGGAATATTGGCCAGCAAGCGACTGAGGACTCGATGATCCATGGAGTCAAAGGCCTTGCTGAAATCGACCAACACCAGCAGAGTCCGATGGGGTCTGTAGTGGAGTTGATTACCAATACCGCTCTTCTTGGGAAGGTTCACTTGGAAATAATGATTTCTATTATGCTCCACTTCGTGTATCAGGTGTGCCAGCTGCATCGTCGTAGTACGCATACTACGATATGCATACTGGTGGGGGTGTGGCGTCCAAACCCAAAGCAATCTCTTGAGTACCATTTTCTCAGCAACCTTACTCACAATGGAAGTAAGGCTGATGGGTCGATATGACTCAAGCAGTTCCGGCGACTTATCGGGTTTTAAGAGTTGGACGATGGTAGCGCGTCTCCACTCAGCCGGGATCGTGCCGGTCGTCCAGCTGTGGTTAATGCAACGAAGAAGGAATCGAAGACCCTTTGAAGAAATATGCCGTAGTGCCTCATTGTAGACTTAATCTGGTCCGGGGCCTTGCCATACGGCGTAGTACGTAGCGCGGCAATCAGTTCCGTACAATTAAAAGGTGCATCAAGAGGGGAGTGAAGATGAGCAACTAAACCAGATGTGATGGCAGCTTCGTTGTTATCCTGTGGCTCTGAACTAGATGAGAATGAAAAAACTGAAGTAGATGTTGCGGCAGAGTCGCTGTTGTTCTGCAGCCTAAAAAGAGAAGAAGAAATAATGCCCAAAGATGGGTTCTGTCTGTTGATGCCCTTGGAAAACCTTACTGCCTTATGTGGTGGATGAAATGGAAAAAGACGCGATTGAGGGCGTTCGCTGCTCTCCTTGCTGTTTTATAAGTGTGTTGACCATCTCCCAGCAACAATGATGTAGGAGGTGGAAGTGATGCCCTTTTTGGTCCGGAAATGTATTTCCATGCGAGTGGTTCGCCTGGATTTAACTTGCTGATGCGACGTAGATACGTGTTGCGCAAGCACTCTCGGAGTAGGAGGAAGAATTGACTTGTCCGTTGCATTTCTGCCTCACGGTCGGGCGTCGGTAACTGCAGATAGCGGGCCTTGCTGTCGGTGGCAATCCGCTCTGCCTCCATGAGAGTGTCGTCCCAAAGCCTGGGACCATCCTTGTGCATGCCGCGGGGGCAGTGTCGTCGATACGAAGTTATAAGCGCTCTCGTGAAAGCTTTAATGCCGGTGGACTGCTTTTTATAGTCATATGCCGGAAGTTGTGCGTCGAGGCCCTTGATGAATAAATCCCATTTGCACTTCCCCCAACTGTAGAATATCCTAGGTGCCGAAGGTATGGTATCCTTAAATGCCTGATGCAGCGTGAATGTTAGCATATAATGATCACTAAGCGGCGACACAGAAGCTGACCAATCTGACACAGTCAAATGCTTTGACCATGTCCGGTCGATACAGGATCGTTCTCTTTTGCCACGAGCATACGTGATCTCACCAGGGGTGTTAACCAAGGTGAGTCCCGCATCCGTGCACAGTTCTAAAAATTCAGCAGCAACCTCGCTTGGAGAAGACTCCAAGAATGGCTCCCACTGTGGGTGGTGCGTGTTGAAATCCCCGCACAGCAGGAGCGGCGACGAGGCTGGAAGGCAGTTTACTAACCGCCTGAAGGATTGCGTTACTTGCAGTGGTGGTCTCATATAGGCACTCGCTACAATAAGGTCACGGTTTTGGTCCAGAGCAACCTGGACCACCACCACTTCAAGGCTGGTGTCATGCTGAGGGATGGTGAGAGGTATACGCTTGGAGCGGAGAGTTTTCCGCACCAGCACCGCCACACCGCCTCCCTTGCCGATGCGCGACTGTGCATAGAGCACATAATCTCCAGTATTCATGCTGGCGATCTGCTCCGACGACTTCCAAGTCTCCTGGATGGCTATTATGTCTGCTCCTTGCGCCATTAATGTTGCGAGTTTTGACGGCGTGAGGCAAGAAACGTTCATCTGGAGTACTGCTATGGGGCCTGGGTTCTGCTCAATGTCTCCGCTTAGCAGTAGCTTTTATCGTTGCGCGTCACATACGGCGCGCAAACGGTATGTATAGCGCTGATAAGCGCCAATGGAATTCAGCAGCGGATAGCTATACCGCTCCGCGGGCAGCCATGTACATGGCTTCATATGGTGCCCTTCCGACCCGTTTGTGCGGCGCCTGTTGCCTCTCCGCGTGCAGCGGATGGGCAGCAGGCGCTTAGCTTCCTCCCTAGCAAAGAGTACTAGACCCTGGCACCACGTTGAGGTGGCCAGCTGACCCAGAGCGCTGTTGTAGTCTTGTTGGTGGTCGTATTTGGCATTTTAAACTTCTGATTTGATGTCTGTACTTTATGATTCTCATCACCTTGTGTATTTTACTGTGCCTTTTATTTTGTGCATCTGACATACCGGTCGCACCTTGTGTGTGTGTGTGGAGACTGAGTTGCCAAACCTGGTGGCTCTGGATTATCGTTAGCCGAACGTAGTGTCTCTGGCGGAACTCGTGTCTGTCCATTGATGGCTGTGCCTGCTTCCTTTGGAAAGAAGGTCCTGGACTTCTTGAACCCTCCTCACTGTCTCTCCCACTCTCTGTCTGTGGCCCACCGGTCTCTCCACCATATGGCTGTAATGCACCAGGCATATTCTTTTAGGATACGGTTTCCCTAGCTCAGGGCTGGGAGGACGGCTGTTATCACTATTATCGTCTCCTGTCGCCGTCACGCACACGGACGAGCAGCAGCAGCAGCAGCACGAGAGCGCAAGGACCAACACGGCGCCGCACCGTCACCATCGCAGTCATCATCGCCCGTAGTGGAGTCGCTGGAGTCAGTCAGCTGATCGGTGAGACGGAAAGGAAAATAATGGAACGAGAGGGAGAGGGACGGAGCACAGCGGATACAGCGAGAGAGAGCAGACAACATGAGGAGAGGGCAGCAGGCCCAGCCGCACAGTTCACACACCACGAGACGGCGTCCACGCAAGGAAGGCACACAACGCCAGCAGCCACCCACCATGCAGGAGGAGAAGACATCCACCACCATCTCCCCCAGCTCATTCCCGCAGCCCCAGGGAAATGGCCAAAACCCCGCGGCCACCACACAACGCACACGGAGCAAGCGAACACTCATCCATCCATGACGCGGCACAAAATTCCTGCCATCCCGCCCTCAATGGGACACGGAGCCCAACTCAGCGCAGTCACACGCGGTGCATCACACCCACAGGAAAATAGACTCGGGGAGCGCGCTCCCTCTCTCCCTTCTCCTCATAGCCACGGAAGAAGACAACAGCCGCCACACGCAACTGCCAGCATGCACTGCAAGAGGAGCATTCAAATCCACTGCAACGTGCATCTTGTGTGTGTGGTTGTGTGTGCCTGCAGAAACACAAAGCAAAGAAGTAGAAAAGAGGGAGCAGAGTATGCGGAGAGACGCACAAAATGTACAGCGGAGACGCATAACGGAAACAAGAAGACCGCTCAAGCTCATGACTGCACTGCAGCCCAAGCAGTGGCCATTCACACAATATTTATTGAAAACAAAAAAACCAAAAAAACGTCCCCCTTCGTCTTATATAAACCCCATCACACAAAATAATTATAAATGAAAAAGAAATCGTCCATTACTGTTCCACACAAAATAAGAAAAAAATCCTGGCAGCCGTGTGGCCACACCAAACCGTCTGTATATATTTTGCCCACAAAAGAAAATTAAAAAGATGGTTGCGTGTGCTTCAACCGTCCGACCCTCCATGTGTCCGCACATCGTTTATATTTCATGGGGTCATCTGCGTGTTGCTGCTCCCCTCAGCCCTCTCATCGGCGTGCGAGTGCGGCCCGCAGAGCACAGTCACTCGTGTGTGTGTGGGGACTGAGAGGAGCACGCAGACATGACGGGAGTCGCGCCTCTCCATCGGGAGAGTGAGCGCAGCAAAAGAAAAAGAAAAAATCATCGGAGGGGAGAGAAATGCTCGCGAGGCCGACACCGAAGGGTGCGCCACCGCACGAAATAAACACGCAAAGCAAAACAAATCCTTAAATAAAAACACGGCGGCAGGGTGTGGCTGTGTGTGTGGAGCTGCGGGTGTCTGCCCGCCCTGGCCGCAAAAGAAAACAAAACAAGAGGAAAAGAAATGTGTGCTCCGCCCCACAGGCCCTCGTCGCACGCCCACACGTCACGGCTCCCTCAGCGCGCCGTTCGTCGCGGCCCCTCCTCATGCGTGCAGCAGGCGAGGCGCACAGGGCCGTCGTCATGAGCGTGTCGGTGGGTGTGCGAGTGGAGCAGTTGGGCGGGAAACACACGGCACCCCTCACAGGAAGAGTGCAGCAAGAAACAATTGAAAGAGGGAAAAGTAGAAAAGAAGCGTCTATAGTGATTGCCCCAAAAAGCAAAAAGAGGGAATGAGGGAAATGAGAGAAAAGAACAAGAAAAGTAAAAAGAAAAAACAAAACGCAAAGCAAAAGAAAAAAGAAATGACGAAGGGAATCTCACCACCAGAAAAAAAACAACAAAAAAGCATTTAAAATATTTTAAAGCAAACAGCAAAGAAAAACTAAAACTACTTAAAACAATCGTAAGAGGTCGCCCACTCAATGCAATAAAAACAAAAACAGTTACGGTGCTCCGCCCATGCAACCAGGCAGGACGGCAGCGGTGCGTGTCGTGCAAAAGAGAGCACCAACGGGCCTGCATGGGTGTGCATGCATATATACAATGGGCACATTATGTGTGTGCGTCGTGGGATGAGGTGAGGGCGAGAGTCCATGCAAGGGGACACACACAGAGAGTGAGTGAAAGACGAGTGTGTGTGCGGGCGGTGCACGGCTCTCTCTCACTCACTCTCACGCGGCCACCACCGCAGCAGCAGCCGCACAAGCAGCAACAAGAAGAAGCAAAAGAGGGGAGGTGGTGTGGGAAATCGCGGTGCTGCCGTCACTGTCGCCAGTCGTCGCCGTTGTATTTTTCATGGCTGTGGCCGTCACTGGTGTTTCTTTCGGATTGGATTCTTTATTTTCATTTTGTTTTTCTTCTGCTGTCCCTGGAGCATCAGATACTGGATCACTGTTCGGGATGCCGTCTTCAGTGCTCTTGTCAGAATCATTATTGGCGGCATCACCGTTTGCCGTGGGTGAAGGTGGCCCTGATTCTCCATGGTCGGCAGATGGTTCATTGTGTTGATTGGCTGCGATGGAGGCAGCGCTCTTTGTTTGTGAATTGTTGTTTGAGTCTTTTTCGCCTTGGAATTCTTCTGGCTGTTGGACGTCCTCTAAAGTCTCAGGGATGGAATCCCCATTCACTTGCGTTGTTGCTGTTTGTATTTCTGCGTTATTGGTTGGACCTCCAGGTGTTTCTGTTGGTGACTTATGAACCATTTTGTCGTTTTTTTTGTCTTCTTCTGTTTCTTGTTCTTCCGCCTCTTCTTCACGACTGTCAGATTCACTGGGAAGATCTTCTTCTTCTTCTTCTTGCGGCAGTTCATCGAGGGTTTCTTTACTCTTGGAATTTGCTCTCGAAGAGGGTTGCTTGACACCCTCAGTGCCAGAGCTGCCAGATGAAGAGGAAGAAGAAGTCAATTGATCAACGCTTTGTTGTTGCGAATCGGCTTCATTACCGTCCTTTTGTTCCTCATCTCCTGCTACTTTTCCATTATTTGTATCCATCACTCCTAATTCCCCAACCTGTTCTTCTGTATCTGATCCTCCGGGCTTCGGCGTTACTGCTGCTGGTTGACCTCCGACACCACCTCCTCCTGCACCAGGCGCTCCAGTGGACTGCGTATTATTGCCCAATTTATTATCAGGTGATGATACCCTCGACTTATCCTGAGGCGGGTCTGGACCACTTAATTCTTGTTTACCTTCCGCAGCCTCAACCGCCTTTATTAATGCCATTCGAGCGGATAACAACCCGCATTCCGCCTTTAGAGACACGCCGTCATCACCATTACTCGTGTGCCTCAAACCGTTCCCTCCACCCTCACTGCAGTAATCGTCCATCGCGTGTCCAAAAACCGCACCGCACCACAGCACGCAGAGGGCACACACCAGCAGCACACGGCCAGTCATCATCATCGCCATCACTCCTGTCACTTGCGTGTAGCCTCCAGCACAAACTAACAACACGTCAACAGAGAGTAAAAAAGGAGAAACAAGTCACACAACCCCGCACCGTCCCATCCAGCAATGAGAGTCACGACGGCTACACCACAGAGTGCACAGCAGCAGAGCACACAGGACGAGATAGTTGGAATCAGCACGATTGCAGAACTCGCACACCGCACTGAAAACGACAAGACTAAAAAGCAAAAAAAAAGCAAAAAATTAAAAAATTAAACAAAAAAAAAAACACAAGACTCCAGTGTACTTGCACATGAGTGTGTCCGGGTTGCGTTCAACGTGACGGATGTGGAGAAGCAACCCGGTGCACACAGCAGCGCAGAAGAAGCAAGTGAAGCAAAACACAATCATTACTTTCTATTATTATATACATCGGACCACAGTGGACATGCACATGTCCCCGTGGCTGAGTGCTGGCACGCACAGCCCGCATACACCTCTTCAGCCCACAGCGGTGCACGCCAGCGCGGATACGGCGAGCAGCAGCGGGGCACACACCCACGCAGAGCTGCTGAGGCTGCCGTCGATTTCGCGAAGACGTGACGGTGCACGGGTGGTCGTCGTGGTTGGCGCCTCTGTATTCATGGCCGTATCACTTGGTGCCTCTGGCGCACTGGTTGTCGTAGTTGGTGCCATTGTTGTAGTTGTGGTCGTTGTGGTTGTCGTGGTTGGTGCCTGTTCCTTAACTTCTTTACCAGTCAGCGCCACTTCTTTATTATGCTTCCGATTATTTACATCTGAATTATCGGAATCACCTTTTGATCCTGGTGAAATGATATTTTCTTCTGATGCCCCTTGCTGAGCAGACGCATCACTTCCACCTTGCAAAGTGGGCGCTCCACGTGGTCCTTCTTCTCCTGTACCTGTCGGAGATGGAGCTGCTGGAGCAGAAGCGGTCTTGGATGGTCCCTCTGACGAATCGGACTCCTTATCTGAACTCCGTCCATTAATTTCCGTGCCTTTTGCTTGTGTATTGTCGGAATCGTTTGAACCCCCTGAATCCTGGGGCGTTGGATTTTCTCCAGCTTTAACAGTTGTATCTTCACTCCCTGCCACGCACACGTACGGGCAGCAGCACAGGGCGAGCACCAACAGGGCGCACAGCAGACGGCACGTCATCATCGTGAGTGTGGTCGTTCAGTGGTGTGGAGCTGATCTGCACAGTGAGGGACATGGAGAGCAACAGGGGAGACGAGAGGTGCGGCAGACACACACACAGAGAACAAACACACATGAGGAGAGGGCGGCAGCCAGGCATGCACCGTACGCCGCAAACCACGCACGACACACACTCCAATCCACGGCAGCAGGCACACACACACACACAGCCCTGCCGCAACACCAACACAAAAAGATGGAAGAGGGAGAAGCAAACAGGAGCGGCACACAAGGCTCCACCGCATGCAAATACGGCGAGAGCGGTCCGTCGTGTCGGCACCCCTCACGGAGGGTACGCACACACACAAGAGGAGGTGCAGCGCACAAAGCAACACAAAAGCAAAGTAAAACAATAAAAAGAATAATCTCTGCACACCGCGTGAATTCGTTTTCCACGGGAAGTGCAGCCAATATTCATCACAAAGCAACTTGTTATCTTGTTTTGGTTGTATGCTGCTACAATAACGAGTGAGTAGCGCAAAGGCCGTCCGTACAAAAGTGGCAAGTATTCAGTCCGAAAAGTGCCGTCGTGCGGGCTGGGGCACTCCCAAACAGTCGCATTCCCAATTGCCAACGACGGGGCATTTCTGCAGTGGATGAAGCGAAGTCTCTCGTGGTCCATCTCGAATACCCGCGCTTGTGCTTCCTGCGTGTCATACCTGCTGGCACTTTCTGTGGCAACCTGTGCGCGAGGCGCCAGTTAAGAAGACGGTGGCATCATTGCGGCGTCCGCATGGGAGGCCTTCTCCAACTATCGGAACGCCAGGCGGAGCACGTCGGGCATGCGTCCTCATATTGTGGACGGGCAAGCGCACTCTGCTGCAGGTTGGGCAGGAGGACGTCAATCCGTCGCTCGCTGGTCGGAAAGGAGTTGCGGTACTCACTTCGGGAAGAGGTTCTGGCGGAGGCAGCGGCGGTCCGGTCTCCTCGGTGAGGAAGGAACGTCACCACCGACACAGAGGGTTACTTGTGATACGAAGGGCACACGCAGGCCTGTCGAAGAGTGGGCAGGAATCGCACCGTGCCTTTGCGCAGAGCCGCCACTCGGGACACGATGTCCGGGTCGTGCCAGGAATAGAGTCCCTGCCACACCGATAGGCGCCTGTCATGCGGTGTGCGCGCCCTTCCTTTTCTTCTGGGCATCCCTCCAGTACGGTCACCTGACTGCAGCGAGGAAGTCCACGTGCCAGATTGGGCTGCCCTCCTGCGGGAGGGAACTTACAGAGTGACATCGCTGCATCAAGGAGAGCAGCATAATCCAAATCTCCTCAGTGACGTAGTCTCGCATGGCCAGTGGGACGACGCGGAGTGATTCCATCGCCGAGAGGGAGTCCGTTGCCACCAGGATTCGTGTGGGCGATTGGGATGTTTCCAGACAAAAGGTATGAGATGTCTAATGCCATTTTCAGTGGCGAGGCACTCTGCTCTATATGAGCGTGCGAGCCTGCCAGCTGCTGCACGATGGACCTCCACAGGGAGATCATTTGTCGTGGTGGAGTAATATAATAGCGCAGCGGATCCAGATCCGAGTTCGGCGAGAGATGAAGAAACGTCTGTCCATAATTCAAAATCAAAGTCTCCTAGAGAGGAGTAAATAGAATCAAAAGCCGTGCGCTTGACATCGTCAGAGGCATCTTTGGCAAAGACTGGCTGACTAAATTCCACTTTATTGCAACTCACAGTGTCCCAGGAGAAAATTCGATGTTGAATAGGAGGAGCAGGATTGTGGCTGTGGGGTATCCCAATAATGTTACGTACGCGGCGCAATCCATTAACAACAGCATCTCTCGGAGGCGGGATCGATATCGCCGCCATCCCAAGTATTAAAGAAAGTGCTGTTTCCAATCAGATTGCGCCACGCACGTCCTCAATACATCGGAGAAGCGTGAGGCGTCCGTATTGTGTGATTGCGCGGAACCCAATGATCCTCCGCAGCGGTGTTAGATTGGCGGCCAGGTGGACAGAAGTATCCTTCTTTGCTGCGCGTGGGCCGAGCGATGCAGTGCAGCTGTCGCGGTGCCGCACTTCCAGGCTGTGGAGGTGAATGGGGGCCGGACACGGTGCGATTGCCTCGCCGCCGTGGTGCAACGCACTGTGGACGCACCCAACCAAAAAGTATCGCGTGGTGTGCTGGGACGCCCCAGCCTCTGCACCCAGCCGCAGCTGATGGCGGCGTGGCACGGTCTGCCCTGCAGCGGCGGTGACGTGCAAACCGAAATTGAGGTGTCGATCAATCGCATTGCCGAGCAGACGCACCAGGTGCGACTTGACGCGTGGGTTCCCACCGCCCAGACGATGGTCGGCCGTGTCCTCGTCAGACTGTCGGTGTGAGGCGATGCAGAACAGAGCGGGCCCGCTCCCGTCCGCGCCGATCTTCAGGCTGTGCTCGGCAGCCCATTTCGATACAAGGGACAGGGCGGGTTGCATTGCCGCAGCACATGCACGGCCGTCCGCACACAAGGCAACAAGCGTGCGGTCGTCAGCGTGAATGAACACCGAAGCAAAGTGAATGCCGTCCAGGCGGCGCAGCAGAACATCCACGCGGTGTAGTAGGAGCTGCGGTCCCACGATGCTGCATTGGGCTGCCACGGCTGAGGTGAGATGCTGTCGGGAATATTCTTGGCGAGCACTCACCCACACGCAGCCGCTCGCAGGTGATTCGCTACCAGCGTTGGGCGCGACGGCCCAGGCGCGGGAGCCCGCAGAGCACGGCCAACACTCGCCCATCGTCCGCGGTGTCGATCGCAGTCGAGATGCCGATCGGGACTACGAGAGAGCGGTGACGGCGACGGTGCAGCGCGGGATGACGCCCCTGCGACGTTCACACTCGTTCAGCCCTCGTGCCATTTCTTCACTCACAGGCGGCTGTGGACCAGTCCTTCGCTCACCCCTAGCAGGGGCAGAGAGCAGCGGGATGGGCCGGCAACTCTCTCCGTGCGGCATTTTTCCTTCCCGTGTTTGCGGATGGAAGTGTTTTTCCCCGTTTCCCAGGAACTTCGTAGGCTGCCGTCGGCGAGTGAGGTATTGATCATCGTTCTGTGCAAGCCGGTGCAAGATGGCGCAGAAACGCATTCAATACGCCGACGGGTCCAGGGGCCAAGCCAGGCAAGCAGTCGCGGATGGCCGAGTCAGGTGCAGACGGCGTGAAGAGTAAATTTATATCTCAGCCACCAGGGAGCACGCGAGCACAAAGTGTGCAGACCGCAGTGGGGATCGCAGCAAGTGAGACTCGGACAGTGTGACGGACGAGCGGTTTGCATGCTGCCGAGGCAGAGCACAGACACAGTCCCAATAGCACCGCAGCACAGCCGATCCCAGGAGCGGGGACGTGGTGCTGCCATGCCTCAGGGTATCACAGGCCTGGGATCGAGAGGGCACCAAGCTGTTTCGCACGGACCTCTGACAGCATGGAGAAGCCACGGCGGAGGGCATGATTGCGGTCCTCCCGTTTGCGGAGCACTTCAGCTCGGGGCAGGCTGCCGCTGCAACACACTCGGTCTGCTCCATTCCGTCCGTCCAGATTCCTGTGGGACTGTCACGGCTGCCGCTCGTACGGTGCATTTGCGCATCTCCAACCATGTGGTCACAGTGGCCAGAGGCGTTGCACAGGACGAGGGGGAAGCATCACAGTCGGCATCACGCAGGACAAGGGCGGCATGTTTCCGTCATGGCAGCATGCCTGCCAGCCGTGGGAGGCCGTCCTCCGTCCCCGCAGTGTGGGATTGCAGATGGTGGTCCGAGTCCATGTAAACGGGTGGACGTCCAGTGGGAGACACGAAGTACGCGTTGCGCAGTCACGTCGGGAAACGAGACGTGGCGGCCGCTGATCCACATTGCCTGTGCCGGGATGTCAGAAAGCTCAATCTCCATGCCGCTTGGGGTGGTGGCGAGGTCCTCTCCTGCCGTCGTGGATGGTGAGCAACCGTCCCGCAGCTAATGATGTGAATTCAGGTCGCCCGCAACAGGCGCTGCAGGACCAAGACGAAGAATGGTGCTCGCAAAGTGGGCAGCATGAGCAATTTCCAGGGAAGGTTACAGAGGTTCACCACGTACATGCTGGGGCAGGCCGGTGGGCGCACGCGGAAGGCGGTCGTCTCCAGGCAGTTGGTGCCACGAGCAACAGGCGCTGCACGGCAAGGTGTGGCGCACAACGAAGGCCACTTCACCGGCACACCCACTGCAGGCCTGGTGGAAGTCACGGCAGCCAATGAGCCTCGTCGCTGGGGCACTCTGGTGCCTGCACTCATGCAGAAGAACGATGCCGGGATGGTGCTGCGCCACTCAAGCAGCAGAGGCAATCCTGAAGGGCGAATGGCCTGAAGTTCTGAGCTGCCAGACAACTACGAGGCCATCCTCATCGGGGCTGCGGCTCTCGCGGACACCACCGCAGCGGGTGATGCCGGCGGAGTGACAGCAATGAAACGACTGCGCGGTTGTCAGTCGGGCTGCAGGCAAACTGCCTCGCCGCTCCACAACCGACAGTGCGCGGGACCTTCTCGAGGGGTGACGCCGTCGTGGTCCCCATCACGCTCGCAGTAATGCCCTGCTGCAAGTTTCATGTAAGAAACCAAATCCCCAAAACTGCGTCAAGGTGTGACCTTATCGATGAGAAAGCTATATCTTCCTGTGAGTGTATGTTTTACATACAATAAGAGGATATTTATCGGATGTATTAGGTTTTAACACCACCATTTCTGTCTGATTTAGCGAGTTTTTGTTGTTTGATGCAGAAGATCGGTGCACCAATTTCTCGTATTGTTCCTTTGGAAGTCTGCATTCATATGCGAAACGACCGCCCATCCCGTGCATTCAATGCCGATGTAAATCAAAAGGGAATAATGACTGATACACGCATGTGCTGAGCGCTTTGGTGATGCACAAAAAGAGAGACGGAGCGTTTCATGGCGCTTGGATGGAATTAACTAGTTCACGCTGCGGGCGTGAGGCCCCCCTCTGCCCAAAAAATGGCAAGAGAGACAATGAAAAAGAAAGAAAAAGTAAAAGAGAGAGAGAGAAAAAAGGAGAAACAAAACACGGGGAAAAAAGGGATCACAGCCACAACCTCACAAAAAAGCATTACCACCCTACGTTCATGGTTTCAGCGAATGCACAGCGACGGCAGTGATAGGGGCGTACTTCCTTTTTTCCCTACCTCCTTCTACTGCACTTGAAGGTGCGGCGTCTGCGCACGGGTGTCGCAATCCCTGTGTGTTCTCGTTCGGTTTCCATCACTGTTATTTGTCCCCACCTCATTCTTCTTGTGAGTCACACTCCCATTGAAGGTGGCAATGATGCTTGTTGCGAGCCGCCTCCCCGTAATGAATGGAGGTGGCCGGAAGGAAAGAAACATCAACAACGGCGGAAGGAACGTCATTGCCAGCGGTGAGCGAAGAGGAAGAAGAAAAGGTGGAAGAGGCATCTTTAACCCGTGTGTTCCTCACGACACGTTCACTCTGTCACTCGATCCCCTATCGGCCTACTTTTCGGCACAAGCAAGAAGGGCGGGGTGGCCTCAGCGGTAGAAGGACGGCCATATGACAAAGGTATCGGTGCCCCCCCCCCTCCGCGGCATGACTTCTCTTGTGCTCTGCCCACCTCGAAGCGGGACTACCTTCTGATAAATGCCTTCTGCCTTCACCCGTGAGTACTTCGAGGCTACACATACGCACACACGCAGCAACACAAAAGATCCAAAAGAATAAAACAACACAAAAGTCAATGATGAGGCAAATAAACAAACCGAGTATCACGTCCCTCCCTCCCACACACACAAACACAAACACACACGAAGCAGTCACTCTTATGTTCCTTAGCGTTCTCTCTCTCTCGGAGAACCTCCATCTTTATTTACGCACCCCCTCCCTGGTGACATCCTGCACGTGCGAACTGGTAAAATAACAAAAAAAAAAAAAAAAAGAGAGTGCGTAAGAAACACAATAAAATAAAGTTATATAAAACCAAACAATGAATTATTCTCACATTTCTATTATTATTTCTTTGAAATCCCCATCTTCCCCCTCTCCACCCCTTTTCTTATTTTTCGGTTTCCCCGCACAATTCGTTTTGTTTTCCTTCTCCCACACTGCTATAACCCACCAGCCATATATAAGATTGGACAGTCTTTAAAAGCTTTTTTTACCTTGTAAAAAACCCCCTCCCCCATGTGCTCTTATTTGGTGCATTATCATTATTATTATTATTAGTAGTAGTAGTAAATTTTTTTTTCTTCTTTTGCTCTTGGGGAAGAGCTTTTCCTCCTAATAATGTGCGCCTTCTAACGTTTTCTTTCATCTGTCGCTCCAGAAATGATGTTGCGACGATAAAAATGGGAAACAACCAAACAAACAAACAAAAAATAATAACAAAACAACAACAACAACAAAAAAAAAACGGTGGCGGCCCATCGCCTCGCCAGCAAACAACAATAGGGGCGTCCACAAGACGACGAGAAAGACAGAGAGAAATAGAGAGATGAATGGGTCACCTCTATTCTACAGTCGCGATGGTGGCGACATCGTGCCCCATGTCAAGAAGAGAGCTCTTTATAGACCTTGTCTCTTCGCTGGCACCACAGAGAAAGATGACTACCGCGGGGTCGGGAAACACGGATGCAGCAATCTCGTCCAGATAGTTCACAGCACCCGACCACCCGGGCTGTGGGTGCTGCAGAACAAATGTGCACCGGAATCGTTCAGGGGATGCTTCCGCCAACGCCTTCAGCTTTTCACGATAAGGGATGGAAGATGCTCGATCCGCAATGTAAATTAAATGAATGGTTGCATCCTTCTCCGGCCTTTCCATGGTGGCCCGAAGGATTTGCATCATGGGAGCAATCCCGCGAGAGGTGGCAATGACAACTTTATGTGGAGCTTTCAGCATATTCATATAATTGCGCTCCACCCGTTCAGCAGCTTTCATTTCTACCGTATCCCCCGGCTGCAGTGTACGCAACCAATGCACCCCATTCCCAGTGAGCCATGGACTCAACGCAATGCCCACAACACCCTCATCGTCAGGTAAAGTATATGGAGTATAAACTTCCACACTTTTATCACCGGAGACAGAACGCAACACCACCCCCTGTAAGGCTTCCAATCCAGAAACTTGAAAACTGCTTGGAAAAGTGAAGTGCAACCACATAAATCCATTCTCGTCTTCCATGACATTCCGCAGCTTCAGCTGAGACCACTTCTCGCCCCAGAGGTAAGTGTCATTATTCTGCAGGATTGTTGCGGCACGATCCCCAGCAATGCGGCCAAAGACGACGCATTCCAGCAGCGAATTGCCACCAAGCCGGTTTCCACCATGCACTCCGCCCGTCACCTCGCCCGCACCAAACAAGCCAAAAATAGGACGGCGGTGGCCAAAGGGGGAGGTCGTGTTTTCTTCCAACTGCATCTCTGCCGAGGGCGAGATGAGGCAGCCGCCCATTGTGTAGTGGATCGACGGCGTCACAAAGGCAACATAAAAGGGACCCTGCGGTCCCACCACACACGGGTAGACAACCTTGCGAGTCTTGGGGCATTGACGGTTTTCTTTTGAGAGCTGCTCGTAGTCCCCCAGCGTATTCCGCACATTCTCCACAGGGCATCCAATGAGTGCCGCAAGCTTTTCCACTGTGTCAGCCTTTACAAAAAGACCAAGACGCTTCCAATAAAAGCCGTGGGAATTCACGCCGAAGAGCTTCACCGCTGCGTCATTGAGCACACAGAAGGCAAATTTGCTACCACCTGCATCGGGGTATTCGTCGCCCTGCTCAATGATGGCGTTGGAGACCACGGAACGGAGGTCAAGCTCATTGACAAACCGCTCACCCTTCTTGTTTAGCAGGACGCCGCCCGACCCACGCAGCGCCTCCGGGCCAAGGTACTTGGTCGGGTTTGCGGGGTCTTTCGGGTCGA